GGAATACTGTAAAGCTGAAAGTGCCATAGGCGTCCAGCATTAGAGTAATTACCCGCATTTCTCTGTAAGTTCATCTGAATTGTGAGCCGCTCTGGGCCTGCTCCTCTGTCTGCTTCACACTCATTTCAGAAGTGTTGAACACAGGAGGACAGATGAAGGTGAAATCCAGCTGTGAAGGTGTCACTACATTGTGCAGATTTGCTTTGAACACTGGAGCTGTATTCTCAGAGAGAATTCAATGCCCTGATGATTTGGACTCCTGCTACTGACGCGTCCAATTTCAGCTGCAATAAACAGGTCTGGAAAATAGGTGCTAGAAAGAAATCTGAAATCTTTAATGGTGTCATAAGAGATCTTCCGACATACTGACAGCTTAATGGCAATCTCTATCCACTGGGGTAAGTATTAATATACCATAGTATCGCAATGTTTTCTGCAGAAATATTATACTGATGCATGAATGCCCATATTGAAATATTGCCAAAATATGATTACACTATTTGGTTGAACGTAAATGTCTTTACAGTCCACTACATTAGACGGTTTGTTTAGTTTTTTTTATGGTGAGCTGGTACAGCAGAATGCAGTAAGTTGGTAAAATAAAGATGCAAGGGTGCATACAGCATTTATGACAGTGCTGGTCAGTTTATCTGCTTCACAATCCCATTTATTTACACAAAATACATTTGAAGTGAGATGCACAACTTGAGAAATGCTTCTGTTTAGTTTAAAGAAAAGTTGCCAAAGTTTTCCTTTGGGGGACATGATTTAAAGTTGGATTTAAATTTTGCAGTATATTACAGTGAAACACAGGGCCATGTTGGTTTGTATTTTGTTTTGCGTAAATTAAGATTTTGGAGTGGCCTAGTCAAAGTCCTGACCTGAATCCAATTGAGATACAGTGGCATGACCTTAAAAAGGCGGTTTATGTTCGGGGCTATGTAGTTTTGTATTTTGTTTTCCCTTAATAATAAAAACTCTCATTTGAAAACTGTATGATGTGTGTACTTGTGTTATCTTTGACTAATATTTAAATTTGTTTGATGATCTGAAACATTAAAGTGTGACAAATGTAAAAAAAAAAATAATAAAAAAAGATATCAGTAAATGTGCAAACACTTTTCATGCTTACACACTTTGTGTATGTAATATATAGCAGTGTGTTTATGTACAGTGTATAAGCCTAATTATCATTCATTAAAATTAATGTATAATTTATTGAATTAAATATACAAATTCAGTTTGCAATTTGTCAAATTTAACAGTTTTCAATTTATCATCTGTTAACAGCCTCTGTAAAATATACAGCATTATTATGTCAATAACTGATTATTCAAATCTGTGATCAATTCATTGATGCATTCTTTTCATTTCTTCTTTGTGTTTTATTTGTGCTGTGTTGTGTTTTTTTAAAATCTTTTAAATTTTTTTATTTCTTTTGTTTTTTATTCATTTTTTTAAAAATCTTTTTTTGTTTAGTTTTTATTTTTTTGTTTTATATCTTTTTTGTTTTTTATTTGTTTTATTTTGTTTTTATCTTTTTGTTTTGTTTTTATTGTTTTGTTTTTCATTTGTTTTGTTTTGTTTTTCATCTTTTTTGTTTTGTTTTTATTGTTTTGTTTTTTATTTGTTTTGTTTTGTTTTTCATCTTTTTTGTTTTGTTTTTATTGTTTTGTTTTTTTATTTGTTTTGTTTTGTTTTTGTTAGTTTTAATTTTTTTGTTTCGTTTTTTATTTGTTTTAATTTTATTGTTTTGCTTTGTTTCTTAAATAAATATAATTTTTATTGTTTTGTTTTTTATCTTTTTTTATTTGTTTTGTTTTGTTTTAATTGTTTTGTTTTTCATCTTTTTTTCTTTTTGTTTTTTATTTGTTTAGCTTTTTTCTTTTTCCTTTTGTTTTTATTGTTTTGTATTTTTATCTTTTTTGTTTTTAATTTGTTTTTTATCTTTTTGTTGAGCTTTTTTAGTTTTAGTTTTTATTTTTTGTTTTTTTATCTTTTTTGTTTTTATTTGTTCTGTTTTTAATTAGTTTTTTTGCTTTTTATTTGTTTTGTTGTTTGTTTCTTATTTATTTAGTTTTACTATCTTTTTGTTTTTTATTTTGTTTCTTTTTTATTTGTTTTGTTTTTAAATAGCTTTTAGTTTTTAGTTTTTTTTTATCTTTTTTGCTTTAATTTGTTTTTAATTTTTTTGTTTTGTTTTTTATTTGTTTTATTTATTTATTTATTATTGTTTTTTTTTGCTTTGTTTTATTTGTTGAGTTAATTTTATTTGTTGTTGTTTTATTTTGGTGTGTGACAAACATGCAAAAAAAAAAAAAAAAACTGAGCGGAGGCTAACGATTTTTCACATTTTCACACTTTAGTTTAAATAGCCTAGTTATATACAATATAAGCCTGATGTGAGCTTTTGTAACCCTAGAAAATGAATAAAACTACAAAAAAAGCATCAGCATGTCCTAAAGCTCCACAATGAGTATTTAATAATAATCTGCAGTCCTTCAATCCAGCAGCACATGAGCCAGACCAAAGAGAAATCAGATCTCAGACCATCCAGCAGATTACAATACTAATTTACTCACACAAACGTTTTAAAAGATCTTAAACCACGCAAACGGCCTGAAAGTGAGAGTCGATTATTAATGCATTGACTTAACTTGATCTAATAGCACGGCGAGGAAATTGCTTTCTGCCTGAATAAATATTTGATGAGGCTCAGCGGCAAACTTACTTCTCTTTTTTAAACATATCTGCATAATGCAAAAGCCGAGACGCAGGTGAAAAAGCCTGCGCAGGTGAAGACAGGCCTTTTGTGTGTGACGACAAGCTATTCTACCAGCCAACAGGATCTATTGTCAGAAGATTGAAGTGAGAATGAGTGTGTGTGTGTGAGTGTGTGTGTTAAGACTGGCTTGACAGCAAAATGTACATTTTCAGTGCAACGCCAGCTCAGATTTCAATACCAAATGAATAGAGGGTTGATAGGCTGTTGAATATGCATAATTGATTTGCATATCATATAACATGAAATAAATTAAATTCAGTAAATTAAATATACATGCTGTCTGTCATAGGCAGTAAGAGATAAGAGACTTGTTAAATGAGCAGGGATACAGAGTTAAGGATTTACTATAGCCTCAATATATAAACTTCAAATATTCTAGAAAAAGCCACGACTAAATTTACATTCCTTCATTCTTTTTCTTTTCGCCTTAGTCCCTTTATTGATCTGGGGTCACCACAGCGGAATGAACCACCAACTTATTCAGCATATGTTTTATGCAGCAGATTCCCTTTTAGCCGCAACCCATCACTGGGAAACATCCATACACACTCATTCACACACATACACTACGGCCAGTTTAGCTTACTCAGTTCCACTTTTTGCACATGTCTTTGGACTTGTGGGGAAACCCACGCCAACACGGGGAGAACAACTCCACACAGAAATGCCATGTTTTATCTGTTGTGTTGGGTTAATTATTTACTTTTTTATTTGTTTATTTGTTTTGTTGTGTTGTTTATTAAATTTACTTGATTTTTTCCTTTAATTTGTTGTGTTGCGTTTTGCTGTTTGAAGTTGTATTTTATTTCATTTAATTTTTTAATTTAATTCAATTTTATTTCATTTTCCTTTATTTTATTTTTTTTGTTTTGTTTTATTTATTTATTTATATAATTTTTTAATAATATTTATTTTATAATATTTTATAAAAAATATTGCGTTTATTTATTCATTCATTCATTTTCTTTTCGGCTTAGTCCCTTTATTAATCTGGGGTCACCACAACGGAATGAACCACCAACTGATCCAGCATATGCTTTTATGCAGCGGATGCCCTTCCAGCCTCAACCCATCAATGGGAAACATCCCATACGCACTTATTTATACACAAACACTAGAAGAATTTAGTGTATGTATTGTTTTAATTTAATTTAATTAAATTTATTGTTTTGTTTTATTTGTTGTGTTGTGTTTTGCATAGTTGGAAATTATTTTCTTTTATTTGTTGTGTAGTGCTCTTTTGTTTAGATTTTTTATTTTTTAGTTGTGTTGTTTATTTTAATTTGTTTTTGTTGTTTTCTTTTATTTGTTGTGTTGTGTTTTGCAGTGTTACTTTTTAAAAAATTAAATTTAATTAAATTTAATTAAATTTAATTTAATTTAATTTAATTTAATTTAATTTAATTTAATTTAATTTAATTTAATTTAATTTAATTATTTATTGAATTGAATTTTATTTTATTTTATTTTTTATTTGCCGTGTTGTGTTTTGCATTGTATAAAATTATGTTTTTTGCTGTGTTGTTTTGTTTTGATTTTTTTTTTTTTTTTTGTGTTGTTTATTTTAATTTATTTGTTGTTTTCTTTAATTAGTTGTGTTGTGTTTTGCTGAGTTTAATTTGTGTTTTGTTTTATTAGTTGTTTGGTGGTTGCTTTTTAATTTAATAAAATTTTTTGTTTTGTTTTATTTGTTGTGTTGTATTTTGCATAGTTTGAAATTATTTTCTTTTATTTGTTGTGATGTGCTGTTTTGTTTAGATTTTTTATTTTTTGGTTGTGTTGTTTATTTTAATTTGTTTTTGTTGTTTTCTTTTATTTGTTGTGTTGTGTTTTGCTGCGTTTAATTTTTTTAAATTTAGTTTGTATTAATTTAATTTAGCTAAATTTAATTTGTTGTTTTGTTCTATTATTATCTTTTGTTGTCGTCTTGATTTATTTGTTGTTTCGTGTTTGCTTTTTATATTTAATTTAATTTGTTATTTTATTTTATTTTATTTGTTGTGTTGTTTTGTTTTTATTTTTTTGCCGTGTTGTTTATTTGAATGTATTTGTTGTTTTCTTGTATTTGTTGTGTTGTGTTTTGCTGTGTTTAAAATAATATTTAATTCAATTTAATTGGTTGTTTTGTTTTATTCTAAAGCGTCCAATCATGTGTAAACAGCAGGATTATGTGCGTGTGTGCATGTGTGCGCGTGTTGTGTGTGTTTGTTTGTACCTGAGCGGCGAGTCTCCTCATGGCCTCCTCCTGCCTCCTCCTCATCTCTGGAGTTCCCGGACAGCTTCCTCCACCCAGTGTACCATGGGAAGGCTGAGGCTGTGAGAGAGGGATGCCATCTCCATCTACACACACACACAAACAATAATTCTATATATCATACATCATAATAATAAAAATTTCACAGCAGGGCTAATAAATTTCCCTTCAACTGTATATATTTTAATATACACATTTATTTATTTTTAATTTTTGTCTTCCATTTACTTCAAGGGACCTTTATAAAAGTTGAATGAATGAATGAATGAATGAATGAATTTGAATGAATGAATGTGCCACTCGGTCTGACAGGGGACTTGTGAATCTCACGTTTTGGCGATGCCTGTGGGCTGTCGGAGGCGATCTGTCTCATGCGATTCCCATGGCAGCTCAGAGCCACCAGCCGTGAGATTATGGCTGTTTTCCCAAATCCGATGTTTCCCACCAAAACCACGCCGGCGCTGGAGCCCGAGTGTGTGGAGCGCAGACAAGCGTCGATCTCCTGAAAGAGCCAATCGCGGCCCGTGAACACAGAGTCCATGGTGATGCTCGGCACCTCGAACAGCAGCGGCTTCAGAGCGATGTCCTGCAGTCGATACGGAGCCAAGCGCACTGAAAACAGCATGAAAAATACACATTACACACACATTTAAACACACACACACATGCAACCCACAATACATTAAAAACAATCAACAGACAGAAACCTCTCACAACATGACAAATATTCAGGCACTTCGGACACGTTTTCTGTTTGCTAAGCATATGGTTACAGAAAAAATAGCAATGAATTAGTCAATTAAAATATTATTTGTTAATTACATGAATTAAAAAATAATAATATGATATTAAAACGAAATGTAAATACGTTAAACGACAAATAATTAATTACATAATTGTTTAAAAATTAAATGTATGTTTGTAATAAACACATTGTTAAATAAAGAGTCATTAGAAATAAGTCATACTGAGCAGAGCAAAGATGGTTGACGTTCCGCCACAAGATGGCGACAGAGACCGTCTGGAGGAGGAATAACCCAGCGTAATTTCAAACTACAGCTGATCAGATCACTATAAAACAGGTATTATATTATATTATATTATATTATCTTCTTTATATTATATTATATTATATTATATTATATTATATTATATTATATTATATTATATTATATTATATTATATTCTTTATATTATATTATATTATATTATATTATCTTCTTTATATTATATTATATTATATTATATTATATTATATTATATTATATTATATTATATTATATTATATTATATTATATTATCTTCTTTATATTATGTTATATTATATTATATTATATTATAGTATATGATATTATTATATTACTATTATTATATTAAATTATAGTATAGTATATTATATTATATTTTATCATTATTATTTTATATTATATTATATTATATTATATTATATTCTTTATATTATATTATATTATATTATATTATCTTCTTTATATTATATTATATTATATTATATTATATTATATTATATTATATTATATTATATTATATTATCTTCTTTATATTATATTATATTATATTATATTATATTATATTCTTTATATTATATTATATTATATTATATTATCTTCTTTATATTATATTATATTATCTTCTTTATATTATGTTATATTATATTATATTATATTATAGTATATGATATTATTATATTACTATTATTATATTAAATTATAGTATATTATATTATATTATATTATATTATATTATATTATATTATATTATATTATATTATATTATATTATATTATATTATATTATATTATATTATATTTCATGAATGAATGAATGAATGAATAAATTCCTTCAATCATTCATTCATCCCGGGCAAACTAAACTAATTTTCCAGAAATAAAATATAATAATATATAATATTAAAAATATAATAAAAAATACTGGGAGAAAATGTGCTTTTTTCTATTAAACATCAACTTAGAAATATTTGAAAAAGAATTCAGATTTCACAGGAGGGTTAAGGGTTTTGTCTTCAACTGTGTGTTTATATATATATGTATATATATATATATATATATATATATAAAATATATATATAAAACACACACACACACACAGTGGGAAAATCTAATTACAACGAGGCCCAAAATTTACACACCAGACAACCAATTTGTCCACATCACAAAATACAGTAAATAAGTGCATAAAGTACATTACAATCATTCCCCAAGACCACAGAGCATAACAGCTACACACACATATAGGGGAGACAGATATCAGCCTAGCAGGAGCACACACTTACGTGACTGAGACTGCCAGGCATGACTGTTAGCGGAAGCTGAGATACACACACACAAACACACACGATCACAGGAGAGAGAGAGAGAGAAAAAGCCAATCACTCCCAACAAAGCATGCGGGGGGACAGAGAAGCTTCTGTCGACTCGCAAACACAGCAAACAGCCTCATAACAACTTCTGGAACAATTGTGATGTTTTAAATTGCTTTTGAAAGAGGTCTTAAAGGGTTAGTTCACTCGAAAATGACAATTCGGTTATTAATTATACTCTCATGTTATCTCATGAGATCTTCGGTGTCATTTCAGACCTTTGAGACCTTTGTGCTTCTTTCAATCAATGAAGCTATTTTAGATGAAATCCTGGAGCTCTCTGACCCTCAAGGCCCATTAGTACCAATTGAGCATCGTGTCAACGCCACAGCCTACCTGAGTATTGTTGCTGTAGCTATCTTCTCATGGCTACTTCCAGCAGGATAACGCACCATGTCATAAAGCGTGAATCATCTCAGACTGTCTTCTTGATCATGACAATGAGTTCACTGTACTTAAATGGCCTCCACAGTCCCCAGATCTCAATCCAATAGAGCACATTTGGGATGTGGTGGAACAATGGCATCATGGATGTGCAGCAGACAAATCTGCAGCAACTGCGCAATGCTATCATGTCAATATGGAGCAAAATCTCTGAGGAATATTTCCAGTACCTTGTGGAATCTATGACATGAAGGATTAAGGCAGGTCTGAAGGCAAAAGGGGCTCCAACCTGATACTACTAAGGTGTACTTAATAAAACTGGTGGTGAGTGCATATTACATGTAACTAACCCGAAACCTCACCCACATCCTAACTCCAACCATATAGTAAGTACATGTAATTAATTAATATTACTCCATTCATTAAATTAATAGTAACACTGTATCGATATCACCTTAAAATAAAGTATAACCAAAATGTCTGTGTGTTTAGATTGACCACATTGTGCAAGAGAACAAAAGTACTGATCCTTTTTTAATTTCTCCTCTGGGTCGATGCTTTTATTTGGCTTCTCCAAGCTTTGGGACCAGTTGTCATTATTATTTTTTGACAGAAACGAATGCATTAATGCTTTTCTCAGGTGTTTTTTAGTAATCAGTGGTCTGATGTATCCTCAGAGTCACCTTGGTGATGGAGAAGCGGATGCTGTGAGCTATTTTAATGATCCACCAGGTGAGAGAAGCTCAGCAGACCAGCAGGGAGAACACAGTCCAATGCTCACTATGTGTGTGTGTACACTATACCTGACAAAAGTCTTGCCGTCTATCCAGGTTTTAGGAACAAAAAATACAAACTTGACTTCTAGTTGATCATTTGGTATCAGAAGTGGCTTATATGAAAGGTAAAGGCCTCTAGATTACGCTTATTTTACCAAAATAAAATATGATCATGGCTTGATTTTTCATGATTTCATTAGGACAAAAAGGTCTGACTCTGCTTAGACAAAACTCTTGTACAAAATCAAAATAATCTCCAGTATAGAATATAAAGTCATGCTGCAGTGGAGACAAAATAAATATTGTGTCTGACTCCATCATGAGCTTGGAGGACTGCATCCATACATCTCTGACTCAAATCACTGATTAATAAAGTCATCTGGAATGCCAAAGAAAGCGTTCCTGCAGGACTCCCAGAGCTCATCAAGATCCTTTGGATTTATCATCATCTTACCCCAGACATGCTCAATAATGTTCATGTATGGTGACTGGGCTGGCCAATCCTGAAGCACCTTGTCTTTCTTTGCTTTCAGGAGCTTTGATGTGGAGGCTGAAGTATGAGAAGGAGCGCTATCCTGCTGGAGAATTGTCCCTCTCCTGTGGTTTATAATGTAATGGGCAGCACAAATGTCTTGATACCTCAGGCCCCGTTTACACTAGTGCGTTTAGTTTTAAAACGGCGTTTTAGATCAAAAACGTTCCGCACTAGCGTTTTACCTAGCGTCTCTGAACATATCTCCGTCCACACTACGCCACCAAAAACGTAGATCACGTGACCATTCGCTCACTCTGGGTATGCGCGTTCTAGTATAAACAGGAAGCATGCGTCTCGCTCGGTATTTTGTTATTGTTAGTCAGTAAACGCCGGTTGGACAATGAACGCGATGGCAAAGAAAGCAGGAGAGGTATTTTTGTGGACAGATGACGAAGTCGAGTTGTTACTAAACGTAACAATTGAATACCTGCACAATGGCGCCTAAAACAGACAATAGTGCAAACAGCGCTCCCATTTCTGTGCCCATGTTGTTGTTTACAGTACTGTCTTCCAGTAGCGTTAAAGCCATGTGTTATAGTCATGTGATAGGGCCTTGACGAATAAGGGAAGGATACGCAATGACACAAAAGCCCCAATCAGGTAGCAAATCTCGACAGCCCCGCCTCCGTTTTCAGATGTCTCCGTTTTTCCTCATCCACACTGAGACGGAGCAGCAGCGTTTCAGAATGAAATCAGCCTCTCCAGCGTTTTCAAAACGCTCCATTTTCGGTGCTCGAAAACTCCGGCGTAGTGTGAACGGATGGCGTAACCGTCGCAAAACTTATGCGTTTTAAAACGAAAATGCATCAGTGTAAATGGGGCCTTAGGCTGTTGATGTTGCCATCCACTCTGCAGATCTCTCGCACACCCCCATACTGAATGTAACCCCAAACCATGACTTTTCCTTCACCAAACTTGACTGATTTCCTTGAGAATCTTGGGTCCATGCATGTTCCAGTAGGTCTTCTGCAGTATTTGTGATGACTGGGATGCAGCTCAACAGATGATTCATTGCACAGTCATAGTGTGATGCCTATTTATCAGTCATTGCGTTAAATGTATTAGTAAAATGGTTCATGATTAGCATTAATCTCTTTATCATGAAAGCAATTAAATTTATTCAGCTTAAACATATGAATATACGTTATAACCTGCAGCAATCAATTCAGTTTGTTTAAGAGCCTATAGACTAGAGTAAGTGAACAGCTTGTAAGGAACCAGGAGTATATTCAGCCTGTTCTTACAAGAAAACGCAAGTATTTTACGTTTTGTCAGTTTAGTGGCTAATTCGTACGAGTTTGTACGAGTTGAGTCGTACGAAAATTTATGATTTTAAAAAGGAGGCGTGGCACCCAACCCCACCCCTAACCCAAACCATCATTGGATGATGAGCAAATCGTACTAAATAGTACGAATTAGATCGTACGAATTCATACGAATTAACGACTAAATCAAAAAGTTACGAATTGCCGCGAGATTGCGTTGGTATATTTGGGCGCTGAATCAAACACTAAAGCACAGATATAATGTGAGTCAATCGGACAGAGCTCAGAGCAGAGGAATGAGAGAGATTCAGAGCCTGCTAATCAGCTGAATAAACGCTGATCTGTGGACTGTCTGACATCTGACCTAATGTATTTGTGAGTTCAGAATGGGGCTGATGTGAATAAAAGCTTAGCACAGGCGGTCAGTCTCTCACCTCGCAGGTCCTGCCCGGAGCGGCCCGCGGTGGAGCTCTGTCTGGGCATCCGCAGCGAGGTGCGCAGGGGCGCGTGTCTCTGCTCATCCAAATACGCCAAGTCCTCCAGGTGAGCCGAACTCGTGGCTAACGGGAGAGAAGACAAATAAAGACAAACACAAGGATCAAGCGGAGTTCATCTGAAGCCAAACACTATTATCCCTATTGGTATCAACCCCCCCCCCCAAACCCCTATTGCAGAACACTATAAGTATAAAAATAAATCAATTACAAATATAAAATAAATAAATAAATTTAAAGTAAATGTTTAAATAAGGATAAATATAAAATATTATACATCTGGCAACCGCAAGGAATGAGAACTTCCTCGTACAACTTCAAAACTGGAATTCATAAACATATATGGAATTCATATATTATTTTAAAAAACAATTACACCATAAAACCATTATCTATTGATGAATGCTTGATTGTTCATAACCTGTCTATTTATGTTTGTTCATGTTAAATTTAAATAAATTACAAATTCTTTTCTTTTTAAATGTCTCTCGTTGGTTGTTTTGTTTGATGATTTGGCAACCACTTAAAACATTTTAATAGAACATCTGGCAACTACAATTAACACCTTAGCAACCACTCAGAACACAATAATAGAACGCCAGGCAATTACGAGGAACACCCCACCACCATCTCTGGACACTATAATAGAACACCTGGCTACCACAATAAACACCATTGCTACCACTCTGAACACTTTAATGAAACATCTGGCAACCGGAATGAACACACTAGCAACCATTCAGAACATTATAATAGAACACCTGGCAACCACAAACATCATCCCATCACCATCTCTGGACACTACAATAGAACATCTGGCAAACATAGTGAACACCCTAGCAACCACTCAGAACACAATAGTAGAACACCTGGCAACAACAAGGAACACCTTAGCAATCCCTCTGAACACTGTAATAGAAGACTTGGCAATCAAAATGAACACCCTGGCAATCACCCAGGACACAGAAAATAGAACGCCTGGCAACCACAAGAAACACCCATAGCAACCAATATGAACACTATAATAGAACCTTTAAACCCCAATGAACAACCTAGCAACAATTCTAAACAATATAATAGAACACCCGGCAACCACAATGGACACCTTAGAAACCTCTGAGTAAAAAAATTATAGAACACCTGGAAACCACAAGGAACACTTTAGCAACCAGTCTGAACACAATAATAGAACACCTGGCAGCCACAAGGAACACCCTGGCAACCAATCTAAACATTATAATAGAACACATGAGCAACCACTAAGAATACTTTATTAGAATACCCTAGAAACCACAATAACACCCTAGCAACCACTCAGAACTCAATAATAGAACACCTGGCAACCAAAAGGAACACCCTAGCAACCACTCTAAACATTATAATAGAACACATGAGCAACCAGTAAGAACATTGTATTAGAACACCTTAGCAACCACAATAACACCCTAGCAACCACTCAGAACTCAATAATAGAACACCTGGCAACCACAAGAACACCCTAGCAACCACTCAGAACTCAATAACAGAACGCCTGGCAACCACAATAACACCCTAGCAACCACTCAGAACACAACAATAAAACACCTGGCAACCAAAAGGAACACTCTTGCAACAACTCTAAACATTATGATAGAACACATGAGCAACCACTAAGAACATTGTATTAGAACACCAACAATAACACGATCAACCACTCAGAACTCAATAACAGAACACCTGACAACCACAAGGAACACTCTAGCAACCACTCTGAACATTATAATAGAACACCCGAGTAAACCACCTGAAACATTGTATTAGAACACTCAAGCAACAACAACAACACTCTAGCAACCACTCAGAACTCAATAATAGAACACCTGACAACCACAATTACACCCTAGCAACCACTCTGAACATTTTAATAGAACACCTGAACAAACACTTGTATTAGAACACATGGCAGCCACAAGGAACAGCCTAGCAACCACTCTAAACCATATAATCAAACACCGTAGCAACCACTTAGAACATTTAATAGAACACCTGGCAACCACAATGACACCCTAGCAACCACTCAGAACTCAATAATAAAGCACCTGGCAACCACAAGGAACATTCTAGCAACCACTCTGAACCATTTACAGAACACCATAGCAACCACTTAAAACATTAAATAAAACACCTGGCAACCACAAGAAACATTCTGGTAACCACTCGGAACATTATAATAGATTACCCTAGCAACCACTTTGAACATTGTAATAGAACACCTGGCAAGCACAATACCACCCTAGCATCCACTCAGAACACAATATTAGAACACCTGGCAACTACATGGAACAGCCTAGCAACCATTCTGAACACCCTAGCAACCACTCAGACACTACAAAAGAACACCTGGCAACCAAAAGAACATCCTAGCAACCCCTCTGAACCATATAATCGAATACTGTAGCAACCACTTAGAACATTTAATAGAGCACCTGGCACCCACAATAGCACCCTAGCAACCACTCAGAACTAAATAATAGAACACCTGGCAACCACAAGGAACACCCTAGCAACCACTCTGAACACTGTAATAGAACACCTGACAACCACAAGGATCAGCCTAGCAACCATTACGAACCATAGCAACAACTTTTACATTTTAAAATAACCCCTGTCAACCACAATAACACCCTAGCAACCACTCAAAACACAATATTAGAGCATCTGACAACCACAACAAACTTACAAACGTTGTCATATCCACGTTGTCTTGAAATCCATATTACAATTTGACAAAATCCCAGATTTACATATGAAGCGACAGACAGGCTGGAGATGATCACTTCTAAACGCTCCCACAAGTGTCTGATTAAATCTGGATCAGGAAGACAGAAATAAAGACCTCCAAGTTCCTCCATTCAGTCCCAGCAGGAAAGCCATACCCAAAGTGTGGATCTATGGAGGTCAAGCTTTGCTCTGACTTGTCTAAACTGTGTGCTTGAGGACTGGAGGAGACTGGGAATCATGGGAAGTGGTCTGGGCTGTATTTGGGTTGAGCGCAGCAGCTGGGAATGTCGGGGAGGAGTTGGAGAAAATCAGGATCCTTCGGGTGGGACTGGACTGCACCGAGCTAAATGAACCTGACAACTAATGAAACTCCTCAACAAGTCAATTATCTGCTCTTAAAGGTACAGGCAACCCAAAACAGAAGATGTTTGTTATTTATGCATCATAAATAGAATTGCAAATGCATCTGATATATTTTAAAGAATCGTTACTGTAGATGTTTTTATAGTTGTGGCTATCACGCTTTAAAATAAATAAAATGAATTTTTTTTTTTATAAATTGAAGTGAACAAATATATATTAATAAATACAATAAACTTTACTAAATAATAAATAAATATTAATGAATATAAATAAATAATACATACAAATTTAACAGTAAGAAATGATACTTTATTATTAAGTACAAAATAAATAAATAAATAAGTGCTGTCAGCAAGTAATAAAATAAAATAATAAATCAATTTAAATAATAATAAATAAATTAATAAAAAAAGAATTAATATAACAACAACAACAACTATAATAATAATAGTAACGATAACAATAAAAACGCTAATAATAATAATAATAATAATAATAACAAAAAACAATTATGATAAAAATAATAATAACAGCAACAATAAAAATACTAATAATAACAATAATAATAATAATAACAATAATAACAAAAACAATAATGATAAAAATAATAACAACAAAAACACTAAAAATACTACTACTAATAATAACAATAATAACTAAACAACAACAACAATAGTAAAAATAAAAATGACAAAAAACAACAACAAAAACAACAACAACAACAACAACAACAGCAACAACAATATTAATAATAATAATAATAACAATATTAATAACAACAACAATAATAATAATAATAATAATAACAATATTAATAACAACAACAATAATAATAATAATAATAATAATAATAATAATAATAATAAAACAACTGCAATAACAATAATAATAATAATAATAATAATAATAATAATAATAATAATAATAATAATAATAATAACAATAATAATTATATTACATGATAACAACAACATAATTGAGTCATTGATTTTCTTTTTGGCTATGTTTCTTTATTAATCTGGGGTCACCACAGCGGAATGAACCGCCAACTTATCCAGCTTGTGTTTTACACAGCGGATGCCCTTACAGCCGCAACCCATCTCTGGGAAACATCCATTCACACTCATACTCTATGAACAATTTAGCCAACCCAATTCACCTGTACTGCATGTGTTTGGACTGTGGGGTAAACCGGAGCACCCGGAGGAAACCCACGCAAACGCAGGGAGAACATGCAAACTCCACACAGAAACGCCAACTGACCCAGCCGAGGCTCGAACCAGCGACCTTCTTGCTGTAAGGTGACAGCACTACCTGCTGCGCAACTGTGTCGCCATTCAATATCTATTAGTATTATTACTGCAATTATTAATCATTTTACTGTATCATCATGTAAGAATAATAACAGGCCTAATCACTCCTGTACTCAATCACACACACGCACGCACGCACACACACACACACAAACACAGCAACACATGGCATCCTGAGAGACACTTTTGTCATCTATGAAAAGAAGTGTGTGTTATTTCCAGCTTGATGCTTATTTCTTTAACAGGAACGACATATTCCACGGTGCTCAAGGAGTCTACACAGAATGACTTCACAGAGTGGATAAAAGAGAAAGGCTTCTCTAGCACAAAAAATAATAACTTTGAAATTGATTTTGCTTGTGTGTGTGTGTGTGTGTGTGTGTGTGTGTGTGAGAGAGAGAGAGACAAGACAGTGTTGCTCTGAGATAATACTGTGAAATAGAGTTTGAGTTTGTGTTCAGAGCCACAGGTGCTCTCATCCAGAAACCTGCGGGTGGACGAGTCTGCAAAACTACTCATTACTGCAGATTCACAATAAAATTAAATCCTTATGGGGATCTTCCAAAATGTTTTTTTTTTTTACAGTGCTCAACATAAATGAGTACATCTTACTTTGAAAAAGAATATTTT